GACCTCGAATAGCCAGAGGAATATTGAAAAAGAAAGCCAAAGTTGGTGGCATCACAATTCTGGACTTCAAGCTCTATTACAAAGTTGTCATCATCAAGACAGCATGGTACTGGCACAAAAACAGACACACAGATCAATGGAACAGAATAGAGAGCCCAGAAATAGACCTTCAACTCTATGGTCAACTAATCTTCGACAAAGCAGGAAAGAATGTCCAATGGAAAAAAGACAGCCTCTTCAACAAATGGTGTTGGGAAAATTGGACAGCCACATGCAGAAAAATGAAACTGGACCATTTCTTTATACCACACATGAAAATAGACTCAAAATGGATGAAAGAACTCAATGTGAGAAAGGAAACCATCAAAATCCTTGAGGAGAACACAGGCAGCAACCTCTTCGACCTCAGCCGCAGCAACTTCTTCCTAGGAACATCGCCAATGGCAAGGGAAGCAAGGGCAAAAATGAACTATTAGGATTTCATCAAGATCAAAAGCTTTTGCACAGCAAAGGAAACAGTTAACAAAACAAAAAGACAACTGACAGAATGGGAGAAGATATTTGCAAACGACATATCAGATAAACAGCTAGTATCCAAAATCTATAAAGAGCTTAACAAACTCAACACCCAAGAACAAATAATTCAATCAAGAAATGGGCAGAGGACATGAACAGACATTTCTGCAAAGAAGACATCCAGATGGCCAACAGACACAAGAAAAAATGCTCCACATCACTCGGCATCAGGGAAATACAAATCAAAACCACAATGAGATACCACCTCACACCAGTCAGAATGGCTAAAATGAACAAGTCAGGAAATGACAGATGCTGGCGAGGATGCGGAGAAAGGGGAACCCTCCTACACTGTTGGTGGGAATGCAAGCTGGTGCAACCACTCTGGAAAACAGCATGGAGGTTCCTCAAAATGTTGAAAATAGAACTACCCTATAACCCAGCAATTGCACTACTGGGTATTTACCCTAAAGATACAAATGTAGTGATCCAAAGGAGCACGTGCACCTAAATGTTTATAGCAGCAATGTCTACAATAGCCAAACTATGGAAAAAACCTAGATGTCCATCAACAGATGAATAGATAAAGAAGATGTGGTATATATATACAATGGAATACTATGCAGCCATCAAAAGAAATGAAATCTTGCCTTTTGCGAAGACGTGGATGGAACTAGAGGATATTATGCTTAGCGAAATAAGTCAATCGGAGAAAGACAACTATCATATGATCTCCTTGATATGAGGAAGTGGAGATGCAAAGTGGGGGTTTGGGGGGTAGGAAAAGAATAAATGAAACAAGATGGGATCAGGAGGGAGACAAACCATAAGTGACTCTTAATCTCACAAAACAAACTGAGGGTCACTGGGGGCAAGGGGGTCAGGAGAGGGTGGTGGGGGTGGGTCAGGGGAGGGTATGTGCTATGGTGAGTGCTGTGAAGTGTGTAAACCTGGCAATTCACAGACCTGTACCCCTGGGGATAAAAATTCCTTATATGTTTATAAAAATTTTTTTTAAATTTAATAAAAATTTTAAAAAAATACATGGAGACAAATAAAAATGAAAACACAACAGTCCAAAATCTTTGGGATGAAGCAAAGGAAGTTCTGAGAGGGAATTTTACTCTGTAGTTAAGAGTCTATTTCTTGGTTTGCCTCTCCCTCTTTTTTTCCCCTTTGCTAGTTTACTGAGGTTACAAGAAGGGAGGTTGGTGGGAGGATGGCTTAAATAGGTAATTGGGCTTGAAGGAGTGCTCCTGTTGTGATGAACACCTTGTGTTGTATGAAGTGATGAGTTACTGCATTGTACTCCTAAAACTAGTATTACACTGTATGTTAACTAGAATTTAAATTAAAAAAATTATTTTTAAGAGGGATGTTTATAGCAATAGCTAGAAAAATCTCCAACAACCTAAACTTATCCCTAAAGGAGAGAAAGAACAAAACCCAAAACCAGCAGAAGGAAAGAAATAATAAATATCAGAGCAGAAAACAAAAACAAAAACAGAAATAAAAGTACAGATCAATGAAAACAGGAGCTACTTCTTTTAAAAGTTAAACAAAATTGATAAACCTTCAGCCAGATGCCTCAAGGAGAGAGAAAGATGGCTCTAACAAAACCAGAAATGCAAGAGGAGAAATAACAAAGCCCACCACAGAGAAAGATTTAGAAGGTAACCCGCTTGCCCGGGACAGGACACATGTTCAAAAAAAAGACCTGAGAAGACCCTCAGCTTTTCACCAACCACCTGAGCGCACCCCAGAGGAGTCCAAAGAGAGCTTGAGGGGGACCACGTGACTGGCTGGTACACACCTGTTCTCCCCACACTCCACCGCTAGGGCAATACCCCTTGAGCAGCCTCACTCTGTTGTTCTTTCTAAATATAAAGATTCCTTGACCTGGTGACGAATTCTGTGAATTCACCCCGAGGAAACTCCCTAGGCTTCTCTGATCTGCTCTCCCCTAAGAGCGGCTCAGCAGCTCGGCCTTTCTGGGGTCTGCCACAGACCCCATGCAGAGCAGAAGGCAGGGACCGAATTTCTCCTACTTGCCAGCTGTGCTTGGGGCTCACGAAGACCCTCAACGCTGGCATCGGGGCATCCGTCTGCTGCCCTTACTAACTACCGTGGCTTTTCCAGCTGTTCTCGTAGCTTTGAGGCTGCCTCCCTGTCGAGGCCACGCTCTCAGGTGGGCAGAGGCCTGGCCCTCCTGTAGGCTTCCTCCTGCCTGCTGGTGCACGAGCTCACAAGAGCCCCCAGAAGATTCCTGCAGAAACCTGAGAAGAGTTTCTTTGCCTCAGTGATTTTAGGACCTGTTCTTAGTTCCCTGTTGCTGCTGTAAATAATTCACCATTTTTATAAGTGAGATAAGGCCAGGCCCTTGTGAGCCAGGAGAGATTTGAGATGATGTTGAAAGCCGTGTATTTTGCCCATAACTCAAGGACTTCTGGCAAGCTGACCCACTTGAGCTGGGATCCTGCCCTTTCTCCCCCTAGACACAGAAATGCCTATCTTTACAAAAGATCTACTTTCTTTTTTTATTTTTTCAGAGTGGTTATAGGTTCACAGAAGAATAAAGAGGAAGGTACAGACATTCCCTATACGCTATCTGACCCTGCACACGCTCAGCCTCACAGCCAGCCCCTTATCCACACCCCCCAGAGAATGGTACATTTGTTGCAATCAGCGAACCGACATTGACACATCGTAATGACTCAAAGTCTATAGTCCACATTAGAGTTCACTCTTGGTGTTGTCCATTCTATGGATTTGGAGAAATGTTTGATGACATGTATCCACCATTACAGTATCACACAAGAGTGTTTTTCCTGCCTTAAACAGTCTCTGTACTCCCCCAAAGACCTACTTTTAATCTTGGAAATAAAGGTTTCCTGGAGTGAGTTCCTATTCTTTTCAGGCTTCCCACCGCCGGCTGTAGTCATGGCCTGTTGGTCATAGCTTTGCGGGATACCAGAGGTGCCACCAGGCCCAGAATACAGCCCCCAGGGCACCCTAGACAGGCTGCTTCCCCCGGGAGCCCAAGCCAGTATCTCACCTCTTCTAGGTCCTCCCTGTCTGAGGCCCAAGTCAACCTCCCAACTAGTGGGATATATAATCCAATGCTCCCCAGCCCTAGCAGAATCCCCTCTGGACAGATAGAAACTGGACTGACGGAAAGGAGTCCCATGGCCATGGGTCCCAGTCACCATTGCGGCTGAAGCTCCAATAGTGAGACGCGTGTGCCATCTTATTTCTGCATTTGGATGAGGAGTGCAAGGTGAACAACCACTTGATAAAGGTTGACCTAGATTCCAGTCCTCCTCACATCCAGGAGAGGAAAATTGAGGGGAAGAGAAGAAACCAGTTTCGCTGAGAAGCAAGAAAACCATACTTATTCTTGCTTTTCTTATCAGGAGGGCTTGATGAAAATATCTAATTCAGGATAAAACAATTTAAATAGAAACATGTGTAAGGCAGTCCAAATTTTCCCAAGAAGACCATGATAATTGTTTAGAAATCTCTAGTTCTTATCCCTACCCATCTAACTGATCAGTTTCCCTCGCCCTTCCTCCTCTTCCTCCCTTTGTCCTCCCCCCAAGACCCAGCTCTACTGCTGTCAGAAGAACATACCTAGTCCACTCTCCACGCCTACCATAAAACATTTTTTAAAACAAAGCGGGTAGAAGAAACATAGCCTGGGAAACCCACTGCTTTTGGCTTTTGTCTATTCTTTTCTCTCAAGAGCTAGAACAGCCATCAAGCTCCTCCCAGGGAACCTGAAAGATCAAGCTGCAGGGTGCGGGGCTGCTGGCTCCTGGCCAGCCTGGAGGAGGACAGAGCGTTGGACACATTCTCTGGTTCCTGGTCAGCTGCCAGTCCCAGCACTAGAGCTGCAGGTCACTCTCCCCTGAAATGGGTTTAGCCCCTTCATCCCTCCCTCTTCCTCTCTCCCTGTGTGCCCTCTCTCACCTGAACATGCTGCCCTTGCTCATCATCTGGTCAAGTAACACTGTCCAGGAAGGTGGCTTAGACAAAGGAACACATATGTTAGGAGACCTAGGTTCGAATTAACTTCGCCCCAGAGGCACAGCACAGAGAGCCTCAGATGCATGAATTTGCACAGAACCAGTTAGACCAAACACATACTAGCAACACTACCCCCCATCTCCAGTGTTTTACAGTGAAGACTGGAGAAAAAAGAGGGGGCACGTAATGAGAGTAAATACGGTAATCGGTTCATTTGCTAGTTGGAGCTCTGGACTTGGGACTTAGGAGTGCCGGATGGGGGCCACAGGGAGCCTACAGCCTACATCTGACCTGGACTGAAATGTAGGTGAGAGACAAGATTGGCTCACATCCTGGGAAATAACCTAGGTCGGAACTCTAGCAGGAGCCACAGCCTCTCCCCGGGGCAAAGTGTTCACCACAGTAACAAGCAAAAGAGGAAGGTAACGCTTCAGTCTGCAGCGAGGCAAGGACTTGAGGGCTGCCGAGCTTCTCCCTGATCCTTTGTTCCTGCTTATTCAAAGCGGACCCCAAAGGAGAAGTCACAGCAAAGAAGCTGCCACCAAGCAGGTATGGGTTTTCTTTCTTCCTTTCTCTTTTGCCGGGGGCAGATTGCCTCCCCAGCTCCCTGCCAAAAAAAAAAAAAAGGTGGGAACGCAAACATATCTTAACATTTGAGGCCCACACTGTAAAGGGTCATATTGGCCTTACAGCTGTTCAGCTTTCCAGGATGGAAAAAAACATGCAGATAATCACTTAATATTGAGTTCCATTAACCATGCTTCCTGATCATGCACTTGCCTCCTAAAGAAATAATCACAGTGGAAATCTCAATTTTATATCAGCCACGATGAGTCATATACACAATTGGCCCCCTCTCTGTTGCAGAGTTTGTGTCTCCTGATCCAGAAAAATACCCAGGTGCGGGGCTGTGGGGGCTGGGAGCAACTCAGCCCTAGTTCCTCTCAGTCCTTGGGGCCAGGGCGGAGACCCAGCTACAGGACAGTCACAGGGCCTGATCTCCTCTGCAAGGGGTCCCTCAGAGGCTCTTCCAAACCCCTTCCCAGCCCTCAGGCTGAGTTGGCTTTGGGCCAGTCAGTGTTCTACCTTTACTTGCCCGGGTAGGCAGCCTGGCCAGCAGAACAAAACCTTTTCTACATGAGCTCAGTGCCACCCTTCTCCCCACATAGCAGCCCAGCAGCTGTGTTTGAAGGTAACACCATATGTGGGGATGGTCAGGAGTTACCTCTGAGGCCACTGAATCTTGATTCAGTAAGTCAGCTGTGACAGGCACTAGACTCCTGTCTAGTGCCTGTCACACTGGATGGCTGTGTGACTTTGGTGCTGGGAAGGTCAATGGTCAGCACCAAGGTGGCCAAGGTGACTAGATTATTTCCACTGTGATGGGTGTTTGATCTCGAATGATATGGCCAGAGTCCAGAACGTTCTAAGCAAGGCCCCAGAGGCTACTACTTATTTAATTAGTTGGTTCATAAGATTAATTTTTCCATATACTTATTAAGTATAATTTTCAATATACTTTTGAAAATATCTTTAAGTTATATAATAAACTTAAATCTAAACCAGGGATTGGCAAACTATGGTGTGCATGCCAAATGTGAACCACCAGATGTTTTGTTTTTTTTTAAAGATTTTATTTATTTATTTGACAGAGAGAGTGAGAGAGAGCACAAGCAGGGGGAACAGGAGAGGGAGAAGCAGGCTCAATCCCAGGACCCAGGGACTGATGCTTAACCGACTGAGCCACCCAGGCGCCCCCGCCACCAGCTGTTCTTATAAATAACATTTTATTAGAACACAGCCATGCTCATTAATGATATATTATCTACAGCTGCATTTGCCCTTGGACAACAGAATTGAGTACTTGCAAAAGAGACAATATTGCCCCCAAAGCCTAAAATATTAACTATATGGCCCTTTACAGAAAAAGTTTGTCAAGTCCTAGTCTCAAGCTATCAACTTTTTCTTCAATTATTATGGAATAAACATAATAAGCAACCACAAAACTGACTAAACTATTGTTAGTAGGTAATAGCTTTTTAAAGTGATGAAGCCTGATTACAATCTTTTTGTAAAATAATGAATCCAAAAGTTAAAAATAGAACTACCTTACGACCCAGCCATTGAAATACTAGGTATTTACTGAAAGGAAACAAAAATACTGATTTGGAGGGACACACGCACCCCTATGTTTATAGCAGCATTATCAACAACAGCCAAATTATGGAAAGAGTCCAAATGTGTATTGACTGATGAATGGATAAAGAAGATGTGGGGTGTGTGTGTGTGTGTGTGTGTGTGTGTGTGTGTGTAATGGAATATTACTCAGCCATCAAAAAGATGAAATCTTGCCATTTGCAATGACGTGGATGGAGCTAGAGAGTATTATGCTAAGCAAAATAAGTCAGTCAGAGAAAGACAAATACCATCTGATTTCATTCACATGGAATTTAAGAAACAAAACATGGAGTGAGTAAAGAAAGAGAGAGGCAAACCAGAAAACAGACTTTTAACTATAGAGAACAAACTGAGGGTTGAAGGAGGGAGGAGGCGTGGGATGGGTTAAATGGGTGATGGGCATTAAGGAAGGTACTTGTTGTGAGTAGCACTGGGTGGTTATATGTAAGTGATGAATCCCTCAATTCTACTCCTAAAACTACACCGTATGTTAACTGACTAGAATTTAAATAAAAACTCAAAACAATAAATAAATAAAAGTAAAATGATTCAGGATAGATAAAGCTAAATTCTCCTTAAGCCATCCTGCCAGTGCCAGTCCCCTGTCACCCCAAAAGTAACTGCTATAACCTGTTTGGTACATTTATCGCCAATCCTCTGCATTCACATATACGTACATGTACTAGCAAACTGTTTGTTGTCATATTATTCTCATTCTGGTTTTCCACCCAACAAACTTTACATATCCATATTCCCTATGGAGACTTTCTATTTCTGTATATAGCTCTACCTCAATAATTTTGTATGGATTATACATAGAATATGTGCGTTTTATTTTTTTCAAAGTTTTCTACTTATTTTTGGGTGGGGAGGGGCAGAGGGAGAGGGAGAGACTCTTAAGCAGGCTCCAGACCCAGCTTGGAGCCCCACGTTGGACTCCTCCCAGGACCCTGAGATCATGGCCTCAGGCACAATTGAGAATCGGAAGCTTAACTGACTGAGCCCTCCAGGTGCCCCAGAATATGTGCATTTTAATGTTATCAAATTGCCCTCCATGGTGACTGCAACAATTTATACTCCCCCCAGCAGAGAATGACAGTTACTGTTCCTCCACACCCTGATGCTTGCCGTCTATTAAACATTTATTGTTTTTCCAATGAGATGAGTGAAAATAGTAACCCATTTGTAAAATATGTAAATGTCCCTGATTACTAATGTGTTAGTTTGCAGAGCTGCCATAACAAAACACCACATGCTGGGGGGCTTAAACTCCAGACACTTATATTCTCACGGTGCTGGAGGCTCAAAGTCCAAGATCAAGGCGTTGGCAGGTGTCATTCCTTCTGAGGTCTGGCTGTGTCCTCCCATGGCTTTCTGTGAGAGCCCAGTTCTGGTGGCTTGCCTTGTGTCCAGATTTCTCCTTCTTACATGGACATCAGTCATATGGGATTAGGGCCCACCCTAATGACCCCATTTGAACTTAATTACCTCTTTAAAGGTACACTTAGAGATATAGTCACATGCTGAAATGGGGGGGACACACATCAGCCAATAACAACTAGTGCAATTGGGCATCATTTTATATCATTCTTGGCCATTGTATTTCCTCTTCTTAATTGCCCATTCATATTCTTAGCTCATTTTATATGGGGTTATTTTCTTCTACTTACTTGTAGGAGTCTAATATTTATTCTTGGTGCTAATCCTTTGATAAACATATAATAAATATTCCTGCTAAGTCTGTGACTTGTTATTTAACTTTGTTTACATCATGCTTTTAGTCAACAGAAGTATTTACTGTTATTGTTATTGCTATTATTATTTTGAGTTAGTTGAATTTATTAATTTTCTCCTTTATGGATTTTGTTTTTTGGGGCTTATGTAGGGAAGCCTTCTCAACCTCCTAAGATTATGATGATAATAAAGTATTAGCATAGTTTCTTTAAATAACTTTATCACCTAAAAAAAAAAAATGGGCCTTTAGTCCTATATTCCAAATTAAGTTTGCCCTCTCCCTAGTCATTTGAACATTGCCTCTATTGTGTACTAAATTCTAATTTTTACATGTCTGCTGCTACTTTTTTAAAAAAAATTATTTCCTATTCTATCATAGGAAATATTATAGAGTCAATTTCTATTATAGCTTTACTGTTTCTAATTGATTTTTTTACTGACATATACAAAATCTATTTTGTGTTTGGTGTTTTTTTTTTTTAAGATTTATTTATTTATTTTAGGGAGAGAGTTGGGGGGAAGGGGCAGAGGGAGATGGAGAGAGAAACTCAAGCAGACTCTTCACTGAGCACAACATGGGGCTTGATCTCATGACCCTGAGATCATGACCTGAGCCAAAACCAAAAATCGGACGTTTAAGTGACTGAGCCACCCAGATGCCCCCAAAATCTATTTTGTGTTTTGATATTTTGTCTGGTCATTTTACTGAATTCTCTTAATACTTGTAAAACTATCAGTTGATTCTGTTGGAACTTCCTGGTAGACAACTATATTATATATGTAAAAGAGTTTTGTTCTTGCCTTCCTCATCTTTACACAGAGAAAAATATTTTTTTCTCTTACTGCCTTTTCTTGGCCTTCCAGCACAATGCAGAGTAATAATTAAGATGGAGGAGAATCTCAGGGCTGATGCATACAGTTGTAGGAGTTGTGCACTGCACAATTCTAGGGACACCATTCACAAATCCTTCGATGTCTAGGTATTTTTTATCACATTTCTGATTTTTGTTTTGAAGATTTTAATTATTTGAGAGAGAAGAGGAGAGAGAAAATGAGCTGGGGAGGAGCAGAGGGAGAGGGACAAGCAGATTCTGCACAGAGCACAGAGCCAGATGCAGGGCTTGATCCCACAACCCATGAGATCATGACCTGAGCCAGAACCAAGAGCCAGACGCTTAACTGACTGAGCCACCCAGTCCCCCCAATGTTTCTGATTTTAATTCATTATTATTTCATAATGTGAGCTCCTATTTCCTGGAGACTTCTCTGTAGGACTCTTTGACATAGGAGTGTGTAGGAGACTCTTCTTGCATACAGGAGCCTTCTAAGTGTTAGGATTTGCAGGGGACTGGGAAGAGTTCCCTGTCATCCAACACCTGTTCATCCACCTGCCTTATCTCCTGAATTTCTGTGAAACACTGAAATAACAATATCCAAATGAAAATTAAGATAAAGAGATTCATCCAAATTCCTCATGTAATGTCAGAAACAACTCTCCTGGGTCTAGATGAATTCTAGTCACACTCTGAAATGCTACGCAGTAGGAACACTGCAAACACATAGAAGAGACAGGCAGTTGACTCAGAGGTCATTGTGCTCTGTTAAATATTGGAAGATGGTACGGGGTGTACTTTTAA